TGGCAAGGTGAGATAGCTGTGGCTTGTTCTGTCTCTCTGATCTACCAGCATTGACCCCAATAACTGGCCTTGGGTTTGATTTTATTATTAAGAACTTTTAAGATTCCTGCTACAGTCATCAGCTTAGAAAGACTCATGTTTGAACTCAAGATTTTTGGTGAGTAGGGTCTGGTCTGGTAAGAATCAACTGAAGTCAGGTTAAGGTTGAGTGCAATCTATTCATTATTAATATTAAGGAATAACCATGATTTTTGGTCATTAATTTGAGTCTTTGTCTTATTTAAGGTCATGTTATAGTCCAGGCTCCTGTGTGTTTAGGAATATCCTGCTTCATATGAAAAGAGGGTGTGTCCCATACTCCCTTGAATTTAAGCTTGGCACAGTCTACTTTGTAATTTGGGAGATGATAGGCTGCCATTGATGTCCCTTTATGGTCTTTTCCTTATGTTGCTCATTAGACCACCACCTCTAAGTATTACTCTGGGTCCTAACTTCCCAGAGTTGTGTATATGGCCTAGGTCACACTTGAAGTTAAGTTGTCCTTGAACTGTGATAATCCAGAAAATAACTGGGTACAGAGTATTTCTGGGTATGGCCCACAAACCCTTGATTCCAAAGTTTGTCCATGTTAATATTTAAGATTTAATATTTAAGAGTGATATTTAAGGCTGTGATATGATGTTTACTTACCCCCTGATTTAAGAATGTTTTCCATGGTGATTGAAAGGAGCATAAAGCTCAAAAGTCCTAAAGGTATAATGTGTTGGATTTCATTCATCAGATTACCAATATTTGTTAGTACAATGGGTCTGTCTTTGTTAGAGGATTTGGTTTGGCTAACTCACACTTGAAGTCAACTTGGCCTTCAACTTTTGAAGTACAGATTGTACATGGTCAGACATCACTAGAGAGAGTGGCCCACACATCCTTCATGCCCAGACTGTAGAACTGTCATTTGTGGCCCAGACATCATAAAGGCCATGGTTTAGTTCTGACTTTACTTAACTGGGAATGTTGTCTCAATTTGAAAGAGAGTGGGTGTGGCCCAAACACATTTGAAAGTTGGCCCCTAACTTCTTGGTGGTTAATGAGCCATCAGGTTTCATAGATATCATTTGGTATCCAGTCATCAGGTTAGGAAGTCTTAGGTATCATTGCATGGTTATGTTGAACAGAGTCTAGTTTGGAAAAGTTATTGATTGAAGTCAAGAGAAGTCTAGATGCAGTTGAATCATTTTTTTTTGTATTTAGAAATGCCCATATTATTTGGTGATTAATGTGAACACTTGACTCCATTAGGACCATGGTGTGGTCCTGTCTTCCTTGTTGGAAGGATCATTGTGGGATTCATGAAGAGAGTATGGTCCACAGCAATAAAGCTGGTCCCAGGCTACTTGCTAATCATGGGGTTGCTAGGCTACCACTGATGTCATGTTATTGCCTTTGCTTTTTTGTAACTCATAAGACTACCATCCTTGGGGTTCATCATTTTTACTTATCCTGGAGTAATGAGTGTGGGCCAGGGAATGCTTGAGGTTAACTTGTTATCATCAATCTCTTGAAGTCCAGATAAGAGCTGGGCACAGAGGATTTCTGCGTGCAGCCAATACACCCTTGATTCCAAGTTGTGCTCATGTTGTATGATGTTCATGTGCACCCCAGGCTATGTGAGAGCAGTGATGTTATCTTCACATATCTGGAGTTAGAATATTGCCTGTGTTGGAAGAATAGAGGGTATAACCCACAAACCCTTGAATTTAAGGAGATGGATATCACTCATCAGATTTTTAATTCTTGTTGTTATAATGGCTCTAACATAGTTGGAGGGCTTGTTTGTGGCTAACTCATACTTAAGGTAAACTTGTCCTACATCTCCATAAGTTGACCTAGGACCGTTATTAGGTGTGACCCAGACATCTTTCATTATTGCTAACTGGGGGAGCCAACCTCTAGTCAGCACCCAGGGTTTCTAAAAAAATTCAGAGTATGCAAAAAATCTAGGGTATGAAAAAAAAAATCCAAAAATGCAGTGATGGCTTAGGAAAAATTCTTATCTATCTGAAGGGAAAAATAAGGCAACACATATGCTTCCTGATGGTAACTTTCTCTTTTACTTAATCTTGAAAAAAATACTTTCTGAAAATCTCTTTCTCCTCTGCATAGCTCTACACTGCCACCCTCACAGCCAAACTCTAGACAATTATATGTTACATTTTCAGGGCTCATTAACACATGATAAGTCACATTGTTTCTCTTAGGCTAAGGAGGTCATATTGACCTGCCAGTGAGTAATGCTTGGCCATGTACATAGCTCTTTCCCAGACAGAAAATGACATTGAAATTCAGGACTTAAACAATGAACACTTAGTTAGCTGAACTTTGAGTGGTAGAGAGTATGTGCAGAAAGTCTATTACTGCAGGGGGTTATGTCTATCAAAATTGCTTCAAGTCTTACCTTGAATCAGCAATAAATACCTGGGAATTCATCCTTGTGTATTCATCTCCAGGGGCAACTAGCTTGCTTTGAATTTGTTCTAAAGTCTAAAATTAGCTGTCTTTGTTACTGAAAATATTATTACTTTTCTATGTCAGTCTGAATAATGAGAAATATCTTAGTATTATTTCTATTCATCAAAATTATACAGTTTAAGCAGAAATCTTCCTGACCATCCACAGCTATATGTGTGCCCAAAGATGGAATATTCACATGAAATAAACAGACAAGCAGTGAGAAGCACCTGTAGCAGTTCTTAGGGAAGAAATGAAGTGGTGCATGAGAGAAATTACAGATAGGAGCAACTGGTCATTTGCTGTCAGTGACCTCACAGCTTTTCCAGGTGAGGCTTCCCATCTGAGAGTCATTTATCTGGTGGGTTGACCTGTTCAACACTAGTTGTCACCTGCTGTATATTCCCACAGCTTCTTGTAAAGCCATTGCTACCAGCAGCTCTCAGCATTTCATGCCCAAGGTTTCCAGACTATTGAATGGTTAGATATCATAAAGGCCTTGGTGTGGTCCTGGTTCCCCCGTGGTGAGGATATGTGACTTGGCTGGATAAAAGGAGAGTATACAATACCTATACATATAATTTAAATGAGCTCAGCCTCATTTAAATGGTCAAGAAGCTGCCAGATTAGCATTGGTGGGAATTCATGGCCTATGACCTGATATGCATTTTCAGTGAAGAAATGATGATGGGTGAGTCCATGTTTTTTGATGAACAGGGTGTGGTCTAGGTCACAAATGAAGTTATGGGTTTTCCAGAAAAATAATTTGAAAAGGCCTGGCATCAGAGCAGGCCGAAGTCATGGGTATGTCCATTTCTTTTGACTGTTCGTCCCTTTAATTCCTGGCTCATTTGTGGTGGGATTGTTTCCTGGTTTGGATAGAAAGAGGGTGATGACCCTTGAAGACAATATGGCTACCTGGAGGTCAAAGAACTGTCAGGTTTCTTTGAGGTCTGTTTTGTGCCTTGCACCTGTGTTAATATTCAGGTCACTAGCAAACTTTGCTAGTTTGGCTAGGATGGAACTTGTCCAGATGTCAGTTAATTAGAAGAAGGCCAATTTTGCATTAGTCCAAGCTTCTTGATAGGAAGGGTTACTCCTATGTTACTTTTGAGAGTTGTTTGTTCCTAAAAACATCAGTTGAAGTCAATACTTGGAGTTTTATCAGACCACAACAGTGTGCAGTTTAACACCCTTTGTATTATGCTATGTCCATATTCACTGGCTACTCAGATGAGAGCTTGGATCATTATGGTAAGTGGAACATCCTGGCTTGCATGTTTTGAGGATGGTGGTACATGTTATAAATGAAATGTATGTGATCCACACAGTTGGTACTCAGGATGTCAACTTATATCAGTACATGAAATCTGTGAGTCTAAGACTTTCAACAAACATGCCTTTGTGTGTCTCTTTTGAGGCCTTGGTTGACTGTAAAATAGCAAGTGAAATCAAGGTCTGAAATCAGAGTGCCTCAAGGTTCTCTCTAACTACCAAATATGTCAAGGATCTTCATTTGCTTTCATCTGTAATGGAGCCATTGGCTCCATTGAGAACATGGTGTTTCAGGCCCCCTCTTCAGGTGAGGGTGTTTTCTGGGTTGGATGAAGAAGAGAATTCTTGTATATTATTAAAGGGCCAGCTTTTAATAATATACTACCCAGGGCTCAGGAGAGAAATTACAAATGGCAAGAACTATTTTTGGGAAAAAGAATCTCAACATAATGAGCTCTTTGTCCATCTACTTTATTCTTCTGGAATAAAATCCTATTTATACAGCTACAGTTCTGTACTCAAGCCTAGTTTCTTTCTTGCCTGATTTGTCTCTATCTTTATCTGCTGTCATCTCTAAGTTTTATCTTAATTCTCTCATTTTAGTTTTGCCTCATCTAAGTCCTTCTTATCTCATTCTTACCCATCTAGTATTCTTCCTCATCTTCCATCTCATCCTCAAGTTCTACACTCCTATCTTCCTCTTCATCTCCTTATACCCCTAAATCCTCTCAAGTCTCTGAGGTATTCAGTTATAAACCCAAGCCATAGTGATCCTCTCCCTGAGCAAGGTTACCAGGCTTGAATTTTTATGGGATCATAAAGGCAGGTAAGAATTTTCCTCAGGCAATGACTGTCAGGTTTTCTTTTACAACTTGAAATGGATTGGTTAAAGGAGGAGGTCATTTGAGAGCTAATGATCAGTTAGGGGATCTGTGTGCTCAGTCTTTATTCCTAGAAGTAGTTAGGTAAGAAATTAGGAGTCTACAATGTTAGTAATAGAAAAGGAGGGTCTCAGATTGCACAAGAAATAAAGCTATCCACCTAACCTAGGGAACAGGTGTCATTTCCACAAGGGTGTTACCTTAGTTCAGGAGATCATTTGGCCTTGGATGCTTGATAGGTATTTTAGATAAATACACTGTTAGGAATTCTTAGAAGCACACAAGAAAATCATTTTAGGAACCAGCTAATATATATATACAAAAGCTATATCACCAAGACTTCTTAAGCCATGGTTTGACCTTTGAAGAAGTCCTTGACTTTTCCAAGTAGTAGCTTTTGTGACAGTAGCTGAATTCCATTGTTTTCCTGTGGCTAGCAGCAGAGAATATCTTGCATTCATCCATGCATTTTATGGTCAGGCATGTTTCTCTTCTAGGATTGCCTGGACTTCTTGCACATAGGGCTTGGTCCTTGGCTACTTGACTTCAGTGTTTGGCCTATGAAAAGTCCTCCTTTGTAGTTGGACCAGGCACCATTTAGATTGTCTTTTCAAACTGGGCTTCTTATGGTCAGCATTCAGTCTGGCCACATATCTCTCATTGGGTTGGCAGGAGCTCCCTTGATTTTAAAGTTTGGAGTTTATCTTCAGCAAAGTCTATGATTGGCCTGTAACATTTCTTTCCACTTTTGATTTTGCCTGGTTTGTTCTATGAGCTTTGTATGAGCTCTGAATTCTTCAGAGTCAATATTTGCCCCAGACCTACTTCTTCATTTGGTCCTTGGTTTCTTCAGAATAAGGATTAGAGCTGGGCATATATGTTTTCTTAGTTTTTAAGAGTATGGCCCAGGCCCACTTCTCTTCTTGATTAGGGCCCAGGCATATTCATAGTTAGGATTGGACTCAGGCCCACTACTTTTCTTGGACTCTGGGCTCTGTCAGCATTAAGGTTATGATGTGGCCCACATCTCTTCTTGCTTAGGCCCATACTTCATCAGGGTAAGGATTATAGGCAGGTAATTTTTTTTTTTTCGCCGTGATCGATCTTGGCCTCTTTAATTTAAGAGAATGTTCCAGGTTTTCTCTCCTTGTTTTGGCTCAAGCTTTTGTCAGGATAAGTGTGATGCCCCTATGTTCCCCTTTTCCTGCTTTGCCCCAGGCCTCTTTCATTTGAGGGATTGGTCTGGGCCCACTTTCTTTCTTAGTTTGAGCCCATTCTTCTTCAGGGTCAGAGTTATGCTCAGGCCAAATTCTCATCTTGGTAAGAGCCCTGGCTTCAGTTCAGGTAAAATTTAGGCATGGATATTCTCCTTTTCTTTCTTTGAGCTGTGTCTTTTTCTTCTGAGGGGTTGGCCAGGACCCATTTCCTTCTTAGTTTGGGGCCAGCCTTCTTTAGGGTCAAGGGTGGGCATGGACATTCTTTCCTTTCCTTTCCTTTCCTTTCCTTTCCTTTCCTTTCCTTTCCTTTCCTTTCCTTTCCTTTCCTTTCCTTTCCTTTCCTTTCCTTTCCTTTCCTTTTCCCATTTGGCCTTGACTCTTCCATTTAATGGATTGCCCCAGGCATACCTCTGTTTTTCCTCTGGGCCAGAGCTTACTCATCTTCTGGTTTTGGTACAGGCCTCTTTTAGGTCAGGGTTTGGCCCAGGTATACTTTTCTTCTTAGAATTAGTCCCTGGCCTCTCTGAGTGAGGGAGAGCCATTGTTATTTAAGCTTTATTCCTGGTCTTCATCCTCACGCCTTGGAATACTTCTCTTCTTGATATTTTTGGTTTAATGGTTAATTCTGGTCAATTTTCACTTGAGGTGCTTATCATAGGCTTTTTCAGGGACAATGTTGGCCTGAGTTACTTTCAGTGTATGGATATATCCAGGCAGTTTTTATGTTAAAGATAAACCTGGTTACATTGATATTCTGGGACTATCTGGTACCCATTTCTCTTTTTGATTGAAGCAGTGGATACTTTTGAGTTCAGGTTTGTCTGAAGCTACTTTGTAATTTGTAATTAGCCTTGGACTATGTTCAGCCTTTCTGAAAAAAATAACATGTGGATACTGATAGAGGACAATATTTATTGCCCTTTTTGTTTAAAAAATTTTTCTTTAAAATTCATTTTACATATTAACCATAGGTCTCTTTCTCATCCCTCCTCCCACTCCCCACTAGCCTCCTGACCCAACCTCCACCCCCTCCTCCAAAATGGTAAGGCCTCTAAATGGGGAGTCAGCAAAGTCTGGTACATTCAGTTGAGGCAGGACCTAGCCCCTGTCCCCTGCATTAAGACTGAGCAAGGAGTCCCATCATAGGTAATGGTCTCCAGAGTTCCAGCTCATGCACTAGGAATAGATCCTGATCCCACTGCCAAGGGCCCCTCAAACAGACCAAGCTACATAACTGTCTCCTATATGCAGAGGGCCTAGTCTGGTCCTATGCAGGTTCCACAGCTGTCAGTCTAAAGTTCGTGAGTTCCTAGGAGCTTGGTTCTGTTGTCTCTGTAGATTTCCCCATCATGATATTGACTGCTCTTGCCCATACAATCCCACTTCCCTCTCTTTGACTGAACTTCCAGAGCTTGTCCCCAGATTAGACTACTACTAATAGTGGAGAGGGTGCTTAAACTGGCCTACCCCAGTAATCAGATTGGTGAATAACCTAACTGCCATCATAGAACTTTCATCTAGTAACCAATGGAAACAGATGGAGAGATCCACAGCCCTTCTCTTATATCTCAAGTATGCTCTGAGGAACACTGGCCTTTTCCAAGGGAAATGTACACAGACACCAACACACACAACACAGAGTCCAGATGAATACACATTACACAAATAGAAAGTGAAGTAGGTAGGAGAGAAAGGTGCTTGGGAGAGTCTTCCCTGTTGCATTGGTGACTATGCCCATGGTAAAGAGGCACCATGAGCTCACATGGAAAATTGTTGCTTCTGAGTAGAGATTACCAAATAGAGTCACAACAGGGTCCCATGATGCCTTTCCTTCCTTCTGTGGTCTGCTTCCATGAAAGAATATCACAAGCAGTTAATATAACAGCAGAGGCTGGTCCTCCATTGATCTAGAGGCTGGCTTGATAAGGCAAATGAGGGTTGTATAGATCTTCACAGGGCCTCTTCTGCAATGTGGGCATGGTGTCCTCTTCTGTGTGTCATTTATGGCATGCACTATCAGGGTGTTCCTTGGTTCTTGCTATTGAAACTCTTCTCAAGGTGTCATTTGTCTTCTACCTTGAAAACCCCTGGAACACTGAACTGTGCCTTTGTGACCCCTTTCAATAAAGTTCCCTGTCATGTCAACTCACTGATGTGAGATCAGGTCTTCCCACAAAGAATGTCAGCACTGACTTATCAGAAATTGATTCCTGCTCACTTTATTCTGGTTCTGAATCGTAGCCCACTTTAATAGAGTGAGCTGCCAACCAGTCAAAGGCACATACATAACCATGACATTGATTCCTTATGTAGTGTCACAGAGGTCAGTCCTCTCACTCTGCTCAGGGAAGCACAAAGGTGATCAAGCTATGCAGAAGTCTTTGGATTGGTAATTAGGGAAGGTACCTGAAGGCTTCAGTTATCATCATTGCTTGGGGACAACTTACAATTCAATCATCCTGTCCTACTACAGAACTTCAATGCTGAAAAGAGGAAGGTCATTGGGGATGGGGCAGACTCAGGCCATATGTACACAGTTGAAATACTGGTCCTGAGACTCACCTTATCATCAAGATTCTCTTATGAGGCTTGTATTGTGCCATCTGCAGTACCTGGGGCTTGGGGAAGAGAGCTTTTTGAAATTTTGCCCTTCAGCCTGTCACTTTACCATCATTAAATACAAACTTGAAGTGGGATTGACCAGAAATCAGAAAGCCATGAGGCTTTCCCTACCTCCTCTCATCATGGTAGTTGATGACTTCTGAGGCTGTCACTCACTGAATAGCAGTGTAACAGCAGTTTATCCTGTCCCATTTTAGAAAGTGGAGTCCTGGGACAGGTGTTGACTCTGCCTCAGCTGTTGTCACCCTTTCTAACAAATGTGAGTGGAGATTAGTAGTAGAAAATAATGGACATATCCCACTTTGAGCATACCCATTCCCAATCTCCCATTGTCCTTTGCCTCTCTTGTTCCCTGAAAGTTTATCCCTCAAGGTGGGCCTCAGATTTCCAGCAATCTTTCTAACTCAGCCTCCTTAGTGTTGGGTTTCCTTTTTATTCTTTTTTTTTTTTTTTACTATGGATGCTTTTTTCTTGCCCTAACATGACATTTGAAGGATAGTGGGAAGGAAACATCTTAGAGATCTGAGGAGTTAGTCAAGGTATTCCTTTCCTCTATGCAAGATCTTGGTGTGGATGAAAATCCACACTTAAGAATTGTGGCATGCAAAAAGAAAAAAAACAAAACTGAATTAACATGTCTTTGTACTGGTTTTCAACCAATAAAATCTCAGTTATAACAGAAAAACTGTGGGGAAATTCTTCCTGTTATTTCCAGATGAAGTATAAGCATTGTGCTACCCTCAAAGTCAAACAGGATTTAGGGAAGGTAGCCTCAATTAAACCAGCTTTCTAATCACAGAGCTTAAAATACTTTTCCTGTCTACAGCAGCAGAATCTGGAAGAAGAGAACTTATAAAGTCACCCGGCAGAGATGATGCTTTGCTGTGCAAGCCTGGATGCCTGTAGTAACAGTTGCAGTAGGAACACCTCACCTGGAAGTCTTCCTGTCAACATTAGTGTACCCTAGGAACCCATACTCTCTTGTTCTTCACCAAGTTCTGGATAGCCAGTAAGTGTATTTAGAATTACTTGGTGGTGGTGATTTACTATAATCTGAAAGTGCAGTGGAAGAGGAAGGAGAAGTTGAAAACTTACATGTGCTTGGTGTCAAACATTATCTTAGGAACTTAACCTGTGACATAGATTGTAGACATCCATCTAAGAAAGATCTTGGTATCTTAGACAACATCAGTGCTCTATAAGCATGGAAGTTCCATGCATAGAATGAAGCATGAACAAGCATGCCCCACCCCACTGTAATAGTGCCATTGGCCCATCATAAAGGATGAGAGCACCATCATTGTTGTGCCACAATACACACATGCTTATTCCCACACAATACACATATCCATGTGCCCATATTCATACATTTAAAATCATGTATGTGTCTACACATATGCATGCACATACACATATATACACATAGAAATACATTTTGAAATTAAATTAGATGTACAATAAATTAGCATAACAGGAAATTAAAAAGAAACCTTTGTGGGGTTGGTATGCATGTATATGGTATGCATGTTGTGTGCATATCTATGAGTATAGTTATGTGCATGTTTTTATAAGTATCTATATGGTATACATAATGTATACAAACATAACTGCATATACATGTGTATATATAAATATAAAAATAAATTGAAATCTTAACTTCCAGACACCAACCAAGGAGGCAGCAGAACTTTCCAAGTAGAGTGGCCAGCTTGCGGTGTTAGCTCTTTTCTGCCTACAACTCTGAGTGCCTGTTATGTGTTTTGAAATGTGGTGATATTTTATTTGTGCTGAAATGTGGTGATATTTTATTTGTATGTTAATAAATAAAGTTTGCCTGGAGACCAGAGGAAATAGCAAGCCATTAAGTAAACACAAAAGTCAGGCAGTGGTAGCACACGCCCTTAACCCAATCATTTGGCAGGCAGGGTCTCTGTGTGTGTTCAAGGCCCCACTTGGAATAGAGCCAAGCTTGGTGACACATGCCTTTAATCCCTGAAGGTCTGTATAGACAGGCAGTAACAAGGAAGTGAGGTAGCTGGGCTAAGAGCCAATGAGAGGTCAGAACAGCAAAGCAATAAAGGCGTGAGTAGACAGGAAGTAGCTCACTTTTGGTAGCTGCAGAGCTGGAGAGGAAAGGTTGGTTGCTATCACTATTTCCCTGATCACTAAGGCTTTCACCCCTATATTTGGCCCCATGTTTTTAATTTAATAAGACCATTTAGAAATTCATCTACATTGAAAGTCATTATTTTTTAATTTACAACAGAGACATTGCATTTGCCTTATTAGAAAATATGTAAAATTTGACTCAAAAAGAAGAAATATGAGAAATAATTTTTGCTTTCAGCATTTAGAGATAAATATCAAAACTTTCTTCAAGTCTTTTTTCTATACATGCATATTGTTTCAGTAGTTTAATATTAATCCTATTTTTAAATCTTTGAGTCTTCAATATATATGTCATGCGTTATCATTCTCCAGGATTGCAGTGGCCACTACTGTCTCTGTTTAAAACATCTTCTAGTTGCCTAGAAGTAGAGTTGTTAATTTCTTCATGTATTAGTGTTTTGGTGTAGACTTAGGAAACATTTATTACACTAGGCTTTGAAGACACAGAGGTAACTAGGGTGAGTAGCATGGGAAGGAGATGGCTTGGGTGGGCTGACTGCATGTGCTAGGAAAGTTCTAGTTAAATGGGTGAAAGGTCATGTCTGAAGTAATAGGAGAGAAAAAGGCAGAACACAAAGAGAAAGGTATTTCTGACCCTGCATGCTGCTACTCAGGGCAGAACAACAGATCAGCTCCTACCTACTGCATAACACATGGCTGTTCCAGATTTCCACTTAGCAAGGTGAATTAATTGACCTTGGGCTTGCTCTTCAGTGATGTCTGTGTAGATGATACAGATCTGAAAGTATTTGTAACAAATACAGCTAAATGTGCAAACCCTTACAAGGGTTTCTGCATCTGAGCTGGTTTATACCAGAGATCCATGCCCAAAGGGTGGTCCAAAAGTAAAATTCTCTTTTGAGTCCATTGTTCTCTGCAATTATGTTGGATATCTACTGTCTTAGTTAGGGTTTCTATTGCTGTGAAGGAACACCATGACCACAGATAATAATTATAAAAGAAAAACTTTAATGGGGTGGCTTACAGTTTTGAAGGTTTAGTCTATTATGATCATAGCAGGACATGGAGGCATGCAGGCAGACATGGTGCTAGAGAAGGAGAAGAAAGTGGAGAAGCTACATTTTGATCCCACAGGCAACAAAAAGTGCTCTGAGACACTAGGCATGACTTGAGCATAAGAGACCTCAAAGCCCACCCCCTCAGTGATATACATCCTCCAACAAGGCCACACTTATTCCAACAATGCCACACTTCCTAATAATGCCATTCCCTATAAGCTTATGGGGGCCAATTACATTCAAATTACCATACCTCCAAGATATCCTTAGAAGGCAGAATAAAACAGTTTTATGATGGTTCTAATAGAATACATTTTTGAAGAGAAGAACACTTTTTTTTTTAAAGGAGAGTCTTATTATTTGGTTCTCAAATAAGAGTTTTACAAGAAAAGTAGTAAATAGAGGAGGAAAAGTACATTTTCCTTCTACCCATTCTTAGGTTTCTTGTTGGGGACTCTACAATAAAGCAGAGATTTTCAAGAGAAAAGCATGAGGAATTACTTACAAGCTTTTACAACCCGAGTCTTTCTAAGGAAGGGAAGCCCCAACAAGTGCTTAGATCTGAAAATTTTTTCAAGATTCTTTTAATCCAGAATAAATTTTCATTACATAAAATATCCTTTACTTAAGAAGAACTCCTTAAATGTGCATATTTTCATATAATATTAAGTGAATATGCTAATTTATAATTTAAAAAGTCAGATATTTTACATATACATTAATGGCAACTTTTTGGACTTCACTTAATCAGTATCAAATTACTTAATCATAAAAGAATATAATATTGAGGCCCAGCCACAGAGTGGTGGAGGGAGATGAGAGAAGACAAATCCAACATTGTTGGCTGCCATCCATCCCCACCTCACTGTCCTTTGCCCTGGGGAGCTTCTAACCCTGAATCCTGTACACCCAGCCAGGCACTAGGCTCATGTTGGGAGGTGCTGGTTAGACTCAACTTATGAACTTCAGTGAGCTTCCAACTATCAGGGGGAAGGATGGAAGGAGGCATCCCTTACTCAAACTGTTTGATATATATGAAGGTTAAGGGCAGCTGTTACCCTTGTACATGCCTTCAGGGTCTTAGAAAAGTTGTCATTGCCCAGTGTATGCCACCCCTAGCCAGCCTTCCAAGCCTGAAAGCCAAGAAAAAGTCGATGACACCAGCATCTCACTAGTGCCTAAAGCAAGCAAACAGGAGTAGTAAGTCCATCCCTAAGAGTTCTGATGCCTCCACCAAATGGCAGTCACCACAAGCTTCACAAAGTCCTGCTTCCAACTGTTGCAAATGACATCCAGCAGTCCCAGAACACCCCTTAGTTTAAAAGTGGGGTAACATCCCAGGCACAGGTTAGAGTTCTAATGGAAATGGAGGAAGGGCATTAAGCCTGCTGTGGTGATTATCTCAAGAGGAATTATTGACCCTACAGGCAGCTAAAGACCAGAACAAGGCTTCCAAAGAAAGGGAATCTTCCAAACACTCATCTGGGCCCAAATCAAGCCTCTGTCTCCAAATTCTTCAACTTGTAGGAACAGAGGTGCACATGGCCCTGAAGAACTGATGGGCCCTTACTCTAGACTTCATTATGGTCCTGATTCTTGAGGTGGGCTACAGTCTTCATGTCCAATACAGTTTCTTCCCTACCACACAATGATGCCTTTATGTATCCCTCATATTTCCCAATACCCCCATCCTTCCCACCTCAGGGACCTTCTCTGATACTCGACTCCTGGTGAGCCTAACATTTCACCCATGTGGCAGGCCTCTTGGGCTCAGGGCCAGTTTTGTGCCTTTTAAAACATGTGGTAGACCTGAGATTTTTATATTAGAGTTGATGGAAAATGAAATGTTGTGAAATGTGTGTCAAAATGAAAGCAATATGAGTCAAGCAGATGAATGGCAAATAGTGAGGGCTTTTGGATCATGTCCTTTGTGTGACTTCATCAATCTTCAGATATGAGGTTGCACCTTTCCTCTATGGAGGACATGTGGTGCTTCTGATCAGCTTCAAAAAATGGTCAGGATTCCCTTCTAGGTTTTATGAGCAGCTTCAGGGGAAGATCTGAGTCCTTCCTCACATTCATTCTTCCACTCATAACTTCCTGTGTCTAGGCCCATGTTTTGAGACAGCATATTCTGAGTACCATCAAGTATGAAATAGCCAAGGTCTGGGTATAATTAATGACTGTGTTCATATTTGATCCTGAAATGCAACATTTAAACATGAACCTCAGTATACCATGTTCTGTGCATGTCGTTTTGCATCATCTTTTCAGTAATTCTTGTTTTAAAAGTATCTAGAGATTGAAATATACAAGGTAATTCATCTAACTGAAATGTTTTTCACTAATTCTTTGAGACTTTAGTATTCTAAAAAGTGCAGTAACCATGAAGGTTATTTAACTTTTGAAGTTCCTTGGAAATTTTGACCCTTGTAAGACTGTTATATTTGGATAAGTATGTGATGACTACTGCAACTAGTTAAATGCTAAAACCTGAACTGTCCACAGGGGCATGCAGAACACTAATGACCAATAGCCTTAGACCAGAGAAGTGCATGGGGCACATAGGACAGACTCTTAAAGGCACAATGCCAAGAAGGAACATGCCATTTCAATGACTCACCCTGGAACCTTCCTTGGTGCTTTTTCACTGGTGGTTTCCAGTGAACTCATTTACCTGCATGGCAGTGTAACTTCCCTTTTTGCCTTTTCCCATATATTACTATGGGCAATCAGTTTTTTCAAACTAGACACACAGCAACCCTTCCATCAAGAATTCTTATCCCTAGGGTGAGCTTTTATTAAGAGCATCATTCATTTG